CTCGTACAGACACACCTTATTCATGACCTACACAACTGCTGGCGAACAGGTAAGTCTTTTGACAATGCCCTTTGCTTCAGGATGTGCCCGTTGGTARAGAACTTGGACTCTTGACYTGCTTTTCACRYTTCTGAGCCCTGGCGAGATACCTTTTCAGGCTGCTTTACTTTTACATGGCCCACGTTGCTTAGTTACAAGGCCTGAGGCCTACATTGGGTGAAAAAGGCCCTTTCAATAGGGTGTGAAAGCAGGAAATGTGGATTGGTCTTTGACTCTTTGTACTAAGTTGGCCGCAGGGGTGAGGCTCGACCCGGGGCCAAGCGTCTGAGGCCGGTTGACCCCTGAACCTTTCTGCGCTTCTATCTGCTATGTACAGACCTTGGGCACTGGGCCAGTAATAAAAAGTTCGAAAAGGGCAAAATGCAGAATTGAGAAATTGGCAAAATTGAAATCGCAAAAATGCAATTTTGCGAAAGTGCAGAAATGCAAAATTGCAGAAATAAATACCGAGAGCTAACCAAAATCACCTGCTCGACTCACAATTTCCCAAGCATTTCTTTTCGAATCGCTGCTTTATTTGCTTGAGCCTCGAAGTTGTGTAAACCAAAAATAAATTAACAAATCTGATTCGAGCGAGACCTACTCCTTCCCATCCTAAAAATATTTGAAATTTGAATCCAGTTATTCCTGGTAACTAACATGAGCATAGAAAATGTAAAAATGGATAAATAGTAAATACTAAATACTATTAAATAGCAAATAAATCGAGACCAAAAAGCATCCTCAGACATATATGAGATTGAATAAATATGAACTCAACTGCTGACAGAGAAATGCACAAAGAATGCGGATGCTTTTGCTGTCGCCTGACTCCAGGTCGTATAGAGTTTTGATAATGATAATGGGGTGTTGTCTTCGGTGGCATACCACAACACTTTTTTCTGACTCATTCTGACCGCAAAAAAAGAAGAAGAAGAAGAAGAAGAAGAAGAAGAAGAAGAAGAAGAAGAAGAAGAAGAAGAAAAAAAAAAAAAAAAAAAAAACTTTTTTCTGACTCATTCTGAGCGCAAATATTGTATAATCTGAGTTCATTGCTCACAGATCAGTTACTGTATGTGTCCTCTCCCCTTACCACATAAGCTTGCATACAAGCAAGTTGTTTCTTATATCATTTTTGAATGATTTTTCCCTTTAATGTTTTTGCTTGGGTGGGTTGGGCATTGGCAGGGGGGGATTGGGGGATTGGCAAAGCTTGTGAGATATACGAGCCAGCCAATGAGGGGGAACAGTATGAGACATGGTATCTGGTCCTTTTCTGTTCAGAGTTGCTAAGCAAACCTTTTTTTTTTTTTTCTGTTTTTTGGGGGGGGGGGGGGGGGGGGGGGGGGGGGGGGGGGGGGGGGGGGTTGAGTAAAGCTCTAGTTACTGACTCATGCATCAATCCTGATTGGTGGTTTGCAGGTGCCTTTGGTACTTGGCGTTCCGTTGAAATCAGGGGACCTCAAAGAGCATCTGCACCAGGTGTGTCGAGCTTCAAGAAATAGTATGAAATACAGTTAAGAATAAAGAAAAAAACTTTTAAAAAGTGGGAAAAAAAAAAGCGAAAAAATGGAAAAAACTTTAAAAAGATTAAAAAAAAGATGCAGTTGCAAGAATCGACCATCAGAGTAATCATCTGGTTTTCCAGCTTTTATCACTTTTTGAAACTGTTTTGAACTTGTTTGCTGCATGATAAGTCCATGAGTTTGAAAACAGTCCGGTTGAACCGGACACCACCGGACACCCGGACAGTCCGGACTGACGTCAGAGGGTACGAAAATGTCCGTACCCGAAAAAAAAGAAAAAGAAAAAAAGGGAGGGGGTGGGGTTGAGGGAGAGAGGGGGGGGGGGGGAGTTGGACAGCAGAAACTCACCGGCGCTGCACTTCAGAGTTCAAACAGTGAGCACTGAGCACCTCTCTAGCAGCAAACCAAGAAAAAAGTACATTCAACTAACAGACATGCAAAGTTGTAAACAGTGCAAAGCTGGCGAAAGACACACGAAACAAGGGGGGGGGAAAAACTTCAAAAAACGTTTAGAAAACAGACTCAAACAGAGTCGTCAACTTTCAGTTCAGAACTTCTGAGTCTTCAGACTGGCAGTGATGTCAGCATTCTCTCTCTCTCTCTCTCTCTCTCTCTCTCTCTCTCTCTCTCTCTCTCTCTCTTTCTCTCTCTCTTCAGTGGGATGTCTTGTGCTGTTTGCCAGCTAGCGGGAGGGACTTCCAAACGGGCAGTGGCAGTGGGCGGGACGTCCAAAATGACCGATTTGAAATTGTGCGCCCTCCGGCCCGCCACCCAACCTCAAACAGGTGTGTGAGCTTTGACTTTAGCAAGTAATCAAATCATCATGGACTTGTCACAGTGGCAAACACCCTAATCGTCGCCGTGAAACAACACGTACAGCACAGTCTGTACTGTCTGTACTGGATTCAAACCGGCGCCCTCAGCCTCAAAATCTGAGTTTCTTAACCACTACAGCCATGACACGGTGCACCAAAGTGGATCCATGCCGGCCCACCCCTGCATGGCTGTAGTGTCCTTCAACTCACACACACAGACACACACACAACACCACACTCAGCTATTCGCCGCACATGCAAATCTCGCTCACTCCGCTCCCATCCAGCACGACTGCTTTTCCAACGGGGCTTTCTTTACCCATGAGCCGCCACAACACTGGTCTAATTTCCAGGCTATGGCGCAGGACGGCCTGGATCTATTCTCTTAACAAGTAATCAAGGCATCATGGACTTATCACACTGGCGAGGACCTTGATCATCGCTGTGAAACAACACCTACGGCGCCCAGCTCTTCTGTCGACACTTTGCTCAAGCTGAGATGAGAGGGGCGAGTGCTCGCAATCCCTACTTTTATCTTCTCTATCTGAGGGAATACTCACACTAGCAATCTCCTAAAGGTATCTGAGTGCAATTACAGCTAGACCTGGATGAATCTGATGGCAATCATGTCCAGAGCTTAGTAGAAAAAGTCCTACCATCTTCCCCCGAACACAACGCACCCTCGTTTTGGCTGTATCTGGCCGGAAATATAGATTGTATACATTCATTTTTAGGGTGCGTGTGAGCATGCCCTGAATCTACCTACTTGGTACAAATTGACCATGAGCAACCAATGTGGCAGCTCTGGCCATTATGTGTTCTCTCTCTCTCTCTCTTTTTTTTTTTTTTTTTTTTTTTTTTTTTAAATTGGACCTTTTTTTTTTTTATGCGCTTTCTTTTTTACACATCTAGATGTGTAAAAGAGACAGGCTCTGGCCATTTTTTTTTTTTTTTTTTTTTTTTTTTTTTTTTT